TTGTGGGGAGAAAGGATTTTTTTTCTGGGAGGGGTAATTTGGAGGGGGTTGTGCTAGGAGGGGTGATTTTTTTTTGGGGGGGGGGGGAATTTGTGCTTGGAGAGGGGATTTGGGGGAATTGTGCTAAGAGGGAAGATTTGTTGTAGGAGGAGTAATTTGGAGGGGGTTGTGCTAGGAGGGGTTATTTTTCGGGGATTGGGAGGAGTTGTGCTAGGAGGGAGCATTTGGGGGTGATAATTTTTGCTAGGGTGAAACATTTGAGGGGAAAGAGGATTTGTCCTAGGAGGGGTGCAGTAGAACTACAGGTGAAGTTTTATTATTTTTTGGTGGGGGTGGGGGTGGGGTTTTGTGCTAGGAGGGGCAACAGGGGGAGGTAGTGCTAGTAGGGGCGATTTGGGGGATTTGTGCTTCGAGGGGGGATTGGGGGGAATTTGTGATAGAAGGGGAGGGGTTGTGCTAGGAGGAGGGATTTGTGCTTGGAGGTGGGATGGGGGGGGGGGGTTGCTAGAAGGGGCGATTTGGGGGGAAATTTGTGCCGGGAGAGGGGATTGGGGGGATTTATGCTAAGAGGGGGATTGGTGTGGGGAGGAAGGATTTGTGTTGGTAAAGGGTAATTTGGAGGGGGTTGTACTAGGAGGGGGTATTTGGGGGAGAGGATTTGTTCTAGGGTGAAAATTTTGAAGGGAAAGAGGATGTGTGCTAGAAGGGGTGAAGTAGATCTATAGGTGAAGTTTTTTTTTTGGTGGTGGGAGGGGTTGTGCTAGGAGGGGGGAATTTGTGCTAGTAGGGGGGATTGGGGGGAGGTTGTGCTAGGAGGGGTGATTTTTTTTTGGGGGGGAATTTAAGTTGGGAGAGGGTATTGGGGGAAATTTGTGCTAGGAGGGAAGATCTGTGGTAGGAGGGCGGATTAGGAGGGGTTGTGCTAGGAGGGGGTAATTTTTGTTAGGATGTGGGATTAGGAGGGGTTGTGATAGGAGGGGGGATTGGGGAGATTTGTGCTGGGGGGATTGGGAGGGGTTGTGCTAGGAGGGGGGGGGGTTTGTTCAAGGAGGGGAGATTTTTGGGAGGAGGGAGGATTGGGAGGGATTGTGCTTGGAGGGGACATCTGTGCTAGTAGAGGAAGTTGGGAGGAGGTTGTGCTAGGAGGGGCAATTTGAGGGGGGGGGGGGATTTCTGTTTGGAGAGGGAAGTGGGGGGGGGAATTTGTGCTACGAGGGAGAGTTTTGTGGTAGAATGGGGGATTGGGAGGGGTTGTGCTAGGAGGGGGGATTTTTGCTAGGAGGGGGGATTGGGGGGAGGTTGTGCTAGGAGTGGCGATTTGTGGTAGGACGGGGGATTAGGAGGGGTTGTGCTAGGAGGGAGGGATTTGTACTAGTAGGGGAGATTTGGAGGATGTTGTGCTAGGAGGGGTGATTTGGGGGGGATTTGTGCTGGGGGGGAATTTGTGCTCTGGTGTGGGCTTTTTTCAACACATGTGCAGCAGACCTCAGCGTCTCTGTCTGAAGCAGATCAAATTTGGTCAAAACACCAGCCGCTTGGGCACCAGATGTTTGGCAAGACATATAACGACCTGTCATGCAGCCCGTTGGCAACAGCACCTTAAAGACCCACATCTTAAGAAGTGCAGACTTCTCCTTGCTCCTCATCTGGGATCTCCACCCCTACTATACCTCAAGTCTTCTCCACAGCCTCCACTGAGAGGGATGATGGTATAACAATGGGTGCCACAGGTCCTGGCACCCCATCTGCTAGCATTACACCACCTGTTGATTTCACCAGGCAAATTTAGCTACCCCAGTTATTGAAACATAAAAAAAAATACTGCCCCACCCATCCACATGCTCAGCATCTAAATGCTAGCTTGGCCAAATTGCTTGCGTTACAACTGCTGCCTTTCCATCTGGTGGACTCTGCCCCTTCCATGAATTTGTAGAATGTGCTGTACCACAGTGGCAGGTTCAGAAAAGACAATTCTTATCACATAAGGCCATTCCAGCCAGAATCAGCTCAATATGCAATTGAGCTACTGGCTTGTCCTGCATCCCGCGTGCTTTCTGAACAGACATTCAGTGCTGATGGAGGTTTTATAACAGATAAAAGAGTGCGTCTGTCCACAGACACCGTTGACCAGCTGACATTTATCAAAATGAATCAGTCCTGGATCAACAGAAGCTATTAAACCTCTGATGCTGATGTAACTTATTACATTTATTTGGGATCTGTGATCCTTTGAAGACTCTATGTAAAGACACCCTATCTACTGCTCCCAGCACTCCACCCTCCACCACCATTACCCCCACTATAATCCCACGCAACCCTACCCCTCCCTCACATGGCAAACCCAGCACCCCCACTTACCCCCCCTCCCTAAATCAGAGCACCAAGGACTGACCTCCCACCCCTCCTTATAAACCCTAAAGTCTCCCTATCCCATGAGAGTGGATAAGAGTCCCCCAGAAGTCCCTCTGTGGCAGTGCCTGTATTATATTTATATTGTGTATAGACATATAAATCCGGCTGTATAGAAAAGTTCCAAAATGATAGCGCTGAATATGGCTTCACAGCAAGAGGGGAGAGCAACAGAAGGGCAACCTGAACGCCTCCAAGTGTGTATAGTAGTTCGCAGCTGATATACTGTAGGTAGGCCACTAAGCTCTATCTCCTCAGTACATATCCAAAAGCTTGAAGGCTGGTAATCTGACAGACACAATCCAGGTCCAGCCTACCAATGGCGGGTAGCTGATTAAGCCTGTAAACCACGGTGTGGGAATCTTGTACCAGCACAGTGGTGACAACATTGGGCAGAGCTTGATCGATGTGACGTCATTACGTTTGTCTACGAGCTACTGCGCATGTGCTGAGTAGCTGGGTCCGTTTTCTGTGATTGCTGTATGCTGTTGACGCTGGTGTCGGCTGGGACACCTCCTGAGTTAAGTGCAATGAGTACCTAATAAAGGAATTTGGTTTTTAATAATACTGCACCATGAAGTTCTTTTGTTTCTTCCGAGTGTCTGGCATCTTCTTCCTTGGATACGATTAAGGGTGGCTTTTTTGGAGAAGTGGATTTCCTTGATGATAATTTGAAAGTATTTTGCTCCTTCTGAAATTGGTCTATGTGGATCGGTGTTCTGCAGAATTTCATTTCCTGAAGATATTTATATATACATGTTTTTGTTTTATAGCTCTGGTGAGTTTATATAGTTTTTTGGTGGTGGTCTGTCACATTTAGACATTTTTGTGCACATTTTTTGTGTTACATATATTTTAAAGTGTGGACTTATTATTTGAACTTTTTCTCATTTAAATATTATTCATGCATATATATATATTTTTTTGATATTTTTTGTTTCACGGATATATTTTTATATTTACTAGCGCAAAATATTTTTTGTAATAATCGTTACACTTTATTTATTTATGGTGATTTTTTGCAGCTGGTATATCACAAGTGATTTATATATCATTTTTTTTCTTTCCATAGGCGCTATTATATATATTTTCTATACTATTCTATATATAACCCACGACGATGAACAATTAAGGAATAAAGTAATACAATATGATCTCATTCCTGTAGACTCCTGAAATTCTCTAATCTTATCTAAATGTTTGTATATGGAACAATGTCCACATGCAAATATGCCCTTCAGGGGTGGTTGTATGTACATAGGTTAACTTCTACTCTTCCTGTATTCACTGCAGACCAAGGTATTGCCTATAGTAGGGGCTTTCTTTGCTATAATCCAAGGCCTCTTCCCTATAATGTTCATTATTCTCCGTTAGAATATGCCAGTGCTTATTAAGCACAAATACTAACTGACATCAGTGTGTTCATATCTGTTAACCAGCCCTATTTTGTCTTGCTGTGATTTCTTTTTATGTTTCCTATTTTGCAAAAGCTGAGTCCTATTTTGTTTTAGTGCTCGCACTCTGCCTTCCTCTAGTACTGACCTAGGGTATCCTCTCACTTGGAACCTCTTCTTTAGTTCTTGGCTCTCAACATGATAATCATCTATATTAGAGCAATTTCTCCTACTTCTTAGGAATTGTCCATAAGGGATCCCTCTAATCAGTGACCAGGGATGGTGGCTAGTGGTGTGGAAAAGGGTATTGCTCACCATAGGTTTACGAAAAGTGGCGGTCTCTAGTTTCTCTCCTAATTTTCTTATTTTCAGATCTAGGAATTCCATTTCACATTGATCCACTTTATATGTTAAAAAAATGTTTTGTCGTTACAATGTAGTTTTATAAGTAATTGGAATTCTTCCAATGACCCTCTCCAGGCCACCAGCACATCATCCATGTAATTAACCCACATAACTACATTGTTATGGTATCTTGGATTCTCATAAACTGCAGATTTCTCCCACCAGCTTAACCACTTGCCTACCGGGCACTTATACCCCCTTCCTTACCAGGCCAATTTTCAGCTTTCAGCGCTGCCGCACTTTGATTGACAATTGCGCGGTCATGCAACATTGTACCCATATGAAATTTTGATCATTTTTTCTCACAAATAGAGCTTTCTTTTGGTGGTATTTAATCGCCACTGGGCACTTTACCTTTTGCGCTATAAATTAAAAAAGTGCAAAACATTTGAAAAAAAAAAAAGTTTCTTTGTTTCTATTATAAAATTTTTCAAACAGGTATTTTTTCTCCTTCACTGATGTGCGTTGATGAGGCAGCACTGATGGGCACTGATAGGCGGCACTGATGGGCACTGATAGGCAGCACTAAAGGGCACTGATAGGCAGTACTAATGAGGTGGCACGGATAGGCGGCACTGATAGGCAGCACTAATGAGGTGTCACGGATAGGCGTCACTAATATGCAGCACTGATAGGCGGCACTGATAGGTGACACTGATGATGGGTACTGATAGATGGCAATGACTGGCATCACTGCTGGGCACTGACTGGCGGCACTGACTGGCAGCACTGCTGGGCTGCACTGGTGGGTGGCACTGGTGGGTGGGCACAGGTGGGTGGTACAGGTGGGTGGCACTGGTGGGCACAGGTGGGTGGGCACAGGTGGGTGGCACTGCTGGGCACAGGTAGGTGGCACTTCTGGGCACAGGTAGGTGGCACTGCAGAGTGGCACAGGTGGGTGCACTGCTGGGCACAGGTGGGTGCACTGCTGGGCACAGGTGGGCGGAGCTAGTGGGCGCGCTTCTGGGCACAGGTGGGCGGAGCTAGTGGGCGCACTTCTGGGCACAGGTGGGCGGAACTTGTGGGTGGCACTGCTGGGCACTGATCATCAGGGCACTGATCATCAGTGGCCCTGATGATCGGTGCCGATCCCCGCTCTGACAACTGCCGGTTCTCGGCAGTACTTTCCTCACGATCTGACAGCGTGAGGAAAGTGCAGCCGAGAACCGGCACTTGCATTTCCCTGTGATCAGCGTGTCATTGGACACCGCTGATCACGTGGTAAAAGGCCGGTATGATCGGCCTTTTACCACATCTCGTGATCAGCTGTGTCCGTAGGACACAGCGATCACGGAGATCGCCGGGTGCGCGCCCCCTGGGGCGCGCAGGAGAGCGCGTTCTGGGGGGACGTCATATGACGTCCACCCAGAACTGGCCGGCCGCAGTGAAGCCGTCATTCGGCTATCTGCGGTCGGCAACTAGTTAAGTGTCAGCATGCTGCGCCCATAGCAACTTCCCTAGTCTCATCATAAAATGTACCGTCAAACACAAAGAAGTTATTGCAGATAATAAAATCCAATAGTTCCACCAAAAAATTCATTATGCGGAGCAGACAATGGGTGCTTGAAATCCAGCCATTCTGAAATGGCCTTGATTTCTATCTGGTGGGGGATGGATGTATATAAGGACTCTACATCCACCACCGCCAGTAAACAATCTGCTGGTACCTTCAAATCTGTATGCAGGGCACCTCTTGAGTAAATTGATGGATTTTAGGGATTATAGGGAGGGGTGGGAGGTCAGTCCTTGGTGCTGGGAGGGGAGAATAGGAACATTGTAGGATTATATGATATGTATTGCACATTTTTTTTAAGTCCTTAATAAATTTATATTGCTGATTAGCCTTTGAGGTGCTATATCCTTTTTTGTTTTTTTTTTTCAGTAATCCTTTGAAGACTGTCTATGCTGTCTATCCTATCCCTGAATCCTGATTTTGCTTTTTGCTAGCTTCCAACAATGTTTTTGGTTTAAGGCACAACCAACATCCAAGGCCCAATTTTTCTGCTCCTGTGTTTGACAGGTATATGTAATTTAGATTTTTTACCACTTTTTCTAATTTACCATCAAACAAATATTCAGCCTCCTAGCTTGTACACAGATTTACGTCTGTCTCCTGCAGACTCTTTCCAAAATGGTTGTTTCGCACACAGCTAGGCACTAGCACACAGCTACTCTGGCTTCCACCTCTCCTAGGTGAAGCCCACCTGACTCCAAGGCAGTGACCTCCTCTCTGCCAGGGTGGAGCCCAGAACCATAGTCAGGTTATTTTTTAAAGCCCTGCACATACCTGTACCATTAGTGTGCTGAGGGTTCAGAAAACATGGACCAGGATTGCAGATTTCATCCCTCCCAGATCACTTAGACATCTCCAGGCTCCAGATCCCAAAACAGAATTTACAAATAAATGAGGAAACTGAAAAGCCAGTTTCCTCTGCATTAAATAAACCCTCTGGAGCCCCTCAACCTGTCTGGTTGAGAATCCAGGGTTATAAAACTTGATTTCGACCGTGGCAGGATACCGCACTGCCACATATCCCCCTCTTGTTTTCACCCCGTAGGGGGCGGAACACACAAAACTTAACCTCCTTGCTTTAGAACTTCTGTGCTGGATATCAGCTGTAAAGGTCCAAACTTGTCTGACTTCATTTTCATCAAAGGGAGACGCTACTCCCTGCCCCAAGAGATGACTTCCCCTGTCTCCCCTTACTTGAGCTCTATGACATCCCCGGACTTTTTAGGAGTTTGCTTCTTAAAGCGCGGTCTTCCTAATTTCCTTGAGACTATGCTAGTCCTTTTACCACTAGGGGGTTTACAACTCTAGGTATCCTTTGTAACCCGAGGTTGTCTCCTAAGCTTTAAGTGACAGGTTCCCGTATCATTACAACGTGCTCCCTCAATTTCCCTTTTTGCTTTATTTAATTTTGAAGGGGTTATATTTTTAAACCCTTTAGTAATAGACGTGGGCTCTTTTATTTGGGAATCAAACTCTTTTAATGTCACTTTGTTAAGCTTTGGGCCAGTTCCCTTGGACCTTTGGAAAACTTTCCCAGAATGATCTTCCTGAACCTCTAGGGGGCCTATTACTATACTCTTAACCTCTCTTGTGTCTGTTAAGCACTCATTACCTCTTTCACGACAACCAGCTACCATGTCAACTTGACCACCAGGTCTACCATTCTTTTTCTTATCACACACACAGTAACCAGACAATCAAAATTAATCAATACATTTCCCTTTTTATCATTATCAAAAATACTCTTGTCAGAGCTCATTTCACTAGTAATTGGCAGGGCAGTGTCTGGAGAGGAATTACACACACCGGAGTGGGTGTCCCATGGAGACTTCACTACCCACTGACTTCACTGTCACAAAAGACTCTGCCAGCAACTGTCCTGACACCAAACCATCCTTACATAATTCTACATTTGGGTTGATGACCCCAACCACATCACATATACATGTGTCTTCCGGCACTTCTGTCCAAACCTTTGTCCTGTCCAGCAGTACTCTGGTGTGCCTCTCATACAGATTACTGCTATGAAGCAACCCAGCAATGCACTGAAAGATAATTTTCACCATTACCAACAAGGATGGTATCACTGAATTCCTATATTGACCATCTTTGTCTTGTATAGCCTGTAATACCCAGCTCCAATTAGTGGTACCCCGCTGTACCAGCTCTCCCGAACGCGGAAGAGACAGCAAGGTATACACTGGCCGTACACTCTAGAAGGCCAACATTTCCCTCAGTAGTTCTGTTATAAAAAGACATCCTGATTCTAGACACAAGACCTTCCTGGGAACATGGAGACACTCATTTATTGATGCCTCAGAGGTGGTGCTTCTTAAATGGGCTTCCTCCTTGCTGGAGGTACCTAATACAATACCCTGGCTCTCTCCCAGAGCGCAACCAGGTGTGGGATTCACCCAAAAACTCTGAGGCTCAGCATCAATGAGCTGTTCCACATCTTCTCTATGGATATCAGTTTGGTATACCACACCATTAACTCTTTTATGGGTTGTGGGCAAAACTTCTGCTGAGCGTTCATCCTCAATAGTGCCTTTTATCAGCGGTGAAGCCCCTCCTAGGTGAAGCCCACCTGACTCCAAGGCAGTGACCTCCTGTGTGCCGGGGTGGAGCCCAGAACCATAGTCAGGTTATTATTTAAAGCCCTGCACACACCTGTACCATTAGTGTGCTGGGGGTTCAGAAAACATGGACCCAGGATTGGAGATTTCATCTCTCCCAGATCACTTAGAAATCTCCAGGCTCCAGATCCCAAAACAGACTTTACAAAAAAGTATTTAGTCAGCCACCTATTGTGAAAGTTCTCCCACTTAAAAAGATGGGAGAGGCCTGTAATTGGCATCATAGGTAGACCTCAACTATGAGAGACAAAATGAGAAAAAAAATCCAGACAATCACATTGGCTGATTTGGAAAGAATTTATTTGCAAATTATGGTGGAAAATAAGTATTTGGTCACCTACAAACAAGCAAGATTTCTGGCTCTCACAGACCTGTACCGTCTTCTTTAAGAGGCTCCTCTGTCCTGCACTCATTACCTGTATCAATGGCACCTGTTTGAACTTGTTATCAGTATAAAATACACCTGTCCACAACCTCAAACAGTCACACTCCAAACTCCACTATGGTGAAGACCAAAGAGCTGTCGAAGGACACCAGAAACAAAATTGTAGACCTGCACCAGGCTGGGAAGTCTGAATCTGCAATAGGCAAGCAGCTTGGTGTGAACAAATCAACTGTGGGAGCAATAATTAGAAAATGGAAGACATACAAGACCACTGATAATCTCCCTCCGCAAGATCTCACCCCATGGGGTCAAAATGATCACAATACCTTTTTGCCCCACTGTATATATCCCTCAAAATTTCCACACACCTTTGGGTGAGTGGAAATAACGTGGGGGCGAGCAGTGGCGGGACTAGGGGTGGGTGGGAGAGGCGGCGGTGGGGGCAGTTACAAGCAGCAATCTCCCTGTATGGCTTTCAATGAAGCAGCTGAAAGTTGCGGGAGGGAGAGGAGGAGACGTGGCTTCCAGCATTTTCATTGAAATCCATAAAAGGGAGATTGGTCTTTATAACTGCCCCCACTGCTGCACTGAATATCCCCCTTCCTTCAGTTTCTTTCCGACCCTCCTCGGTGTGTGCTCCTCAGTGCCCAGCCCCTCCCCCATCCTCCGCACCAATAGGAGAGGAGAGAGGCTGGATCTGCTATGCCTTCCCCTGTGCCCACCTACACTCCAGTATGTGCTGTGCAGAACAGGATGTGTGGGTGGGAAATTGTATACAGAGCAGCCAGCAGCTCTGTGATGCTTCTGAATGAGCATGTGAGTCAGGAACCATCCATGTGAGTCCGACCCTCCTTCCTTTCACCCCTCCCTTCCTTTCTTCCTTCCTTCCCTCCCTTTCTTCCTCCCTCCCTTCTTTCCCTTCCTTTCCTTCCCTTTTCCTCCTTCCCCTCCTTCCCTCTGTCACGGATCCAGCCCACACGCACACACCCACAGCGACTAGCTAACCGAGGCGTGCACGTTCGGCCGTGACTTGGGGTAAGAGGGAATGAGGGGGACTTAATCTGAATATATATAAGACCAGCCGTGATATACTTTCACAGCCCACGCTACCTCTGGCCACCACTAGAGGGAGACTCCACTCCAATCCAGCTGGCTGACCACACACACAGGCATATACGAATCTTATACACAGGCAGATGCGAATCTTATATACAATCTGGTGCACACTAAGGGTTGGGGAGCAGGCTAGCGATTGCACACCCTTCTGGGATTCCTCCAGCTATCCTACAAGCTAGAACTCCGGTGTTAATCACTCTTCCACTGTCCACACCCCCCCACACCAGACACAAAACAAACGGTAGCTTCCCACCACCCAACAGTTTATCCGCAGACTGGTCTGCTGGGCCACCACACACACACACAGATCTCCGTCTGGCAGACCTGCTACCTTACAATCTGCCAACACGCAGTGCAATTGAATACAGATAGGCAATGAACTTAACCGAGCATATATAGACACTGCAATACAATACAGTCTCTCCTGAGATATGAGCCCGAGCTTAAGTATCCAGAAGTCACTTATTAATTTTAGGATTTAATATCCCAAAAGTGGGCAGTGCAGAATATATACAAAGAAAAAACAATT